CTCTAGCACGAACAATACTTACGGCGGCAATACTTAATCTCGGCCGACTTCGAAGACGTCGGCCGCCCTAAGTATTGTTCTTGATACGTACGTTGGGTTGCAGGCGAAGATCATGCTCTAGCACGAACAATACTTATGGCGGCCGACATCTTCGAAGTCGGCCGAGATTATTTCCTACATTAACAGAAATAATCTCGGCCGACGAGCATGATCTTCGCCTATATGCAACCCAAACTAACCGAACTCAACCCACCCCAAGTATCGCGAATAATATTTAGAACGGCCGACGTCTTCGAAGTCGGCCGAGATTATTTTTATTGATATAGGAAATAATCTCGGCCGCTATAAATATTGTTCGTGATAGAGTATGATTTTCACCTATATGCAAAACAACCCAAGTATCACGAACAATACTGAGACTATATAAGAAATAAGAAATCACTTTTTTTATATTTAAAATATATGTTATTGTATATTATTTCAAAGTAGTTTTGTTAACAAATTAATATTATATAATTAATTTTAAATTAGTTTTATAAATAGCATCCAAAGATTTTATGAAATTATAATAACGAAATTATGATATTAAAAATATTGCTTCAGCGATTTCGAATAAATAACATTTACATATGTACATGGAAATAACGGTTAAACTAACATGACTTTTAACGTTATCTAGTCAATATTCGCGTTAAAAATGAAAGTTATCGCAAACGATTGCAAATTATCTATACCAGAAGTGTGTGCAACAACATTGTAAGTATTTTTACATACATCCGGTAAGAAATGATTAATTAAAAAAATACAGGATTTATTTTTTTAAAGATACAATACATTTTGAGTTGGTTGTTTGGAGGTTTTAGTGGTTTTTGGGTCCGTTTTCGTCTACCTGCTTTATTTTAAAGGAGAAATAGTAGAGAAGGGGATGGACTATAACGACTATAACGACTATAACGAAAACTGTCGGCCTTAACACTCTTTTTAAATATAAAGGAATCTACTGTTGAACGAAAACCTTTACTATAAAGAAACTCCTATAAAAGATTTCGATTTTAAGTCAGTAGAGTGAAACCAACACTCTCTCAGCAATTGTGTGTAATGCCTACATGTACGTTTAGGTCTTGTAAGTGGTTACCGTTATGCGATGTTGCCGCTTTGGCGCTAACCGAACCCGACTTGTCGAGAATATTAAGTTGTAGGTAGCCGTCCAAGCACAAAATTTGCGTTACGCGCACGTAACAGTACTCCCACAACCCATCAACACACCCCAACCGATGACCATAGGGCTTTTTTTTTGGACACCACCCTTATGTTTTAAACCAACAGCTGCTAGGAGTGCTCAATATGAAGACCCCTACTTGTGCCAAATATTGACCCACTTCTCCATCCTCCACCGGTTATGTTTGTATCCTCATTTCGTCTTTTCTAACGCGAAACAGATTACGTAACTTGTTTTATTTTTCTCTCCGCTTTGCCAATTTGTATTGCGACCACACAATTGTCACTATCCAAACAGGAAGTGCACAAAAATTTATTTAAATAAGAACGCGATCCTTTTTTAAACAATTTGTTTTAAACAAATTTTACAAAAACCACGCACGTGCTTGCTTATTTATAATAATGAATAATTGTTTTATTTGTAATCAACAAATTTTCGAAAGGAAATGAATGCGATGCAATTTAATTGGGCGAAGCGTAGGTTTGGGATTTCCGTTTGGTATTTTTCATGCGCGATAAAATAAAATAAATGAGTTCATAGAAATATCTATTAATATTTTTATATTTTGAACTCTTAAATTTATTAAAGCCATGAAGAAAATCCGAGCTAAATGGAGATTGGCTTTGATTGCTGCAAAAAACTAACAACCGACGAGTTACTGCTTACGAAGTAAAACCAGATCCGAAGCTAATAACAATGATATTGTCATGGCGGCTCGTGTACAAGCTGTCTGATGATCGAAGCATAATGAAACCTTACTCCGTGCACGTGCAGATGTTACGGCGTCGTCCTCACTACTCATTCTGCTTGGTAATTGTAATTAAATTTGCTTTTCTAACCATGCTTTTGCGATTTCGGTATCTCTCCTCTTGAATCCTAATACGAAACATATGCAACGCTTATAATGCAAAACACTTACGGCTCTGCATACAAATTATAGGGAGATTTTTACATTAAAAAATACGACTTCATATCTAAATATACTGGATATCGTCATAAAATTATTAATCTTTACATTTAACTTTAAATTAAAATAACCATGATTTTTAGCTCGATGAAAAACTCGAATGTTTTTAGTTCTAGGTCTAGTATTGTTTGTGATACTTGGGGGAGATTATTTTTTATATCATGAACAATATTTGGGGTGCCATAAATAATTTTTTATTTTAATAATCCCCCAAGTTTCACGAACAATACTTTGGCTGAATAACAACTAACACTAGGACTAGAACCAACACTAAACCTACACTACTTTACTTTTACTGTACTTTAATTACACACTACTTTTAATAAATTGCCTTCATCTTTTTCCTAGCATTAATATCAAAAAAATTCAGGAGTTATTAAGTGACTAATTATCATGAAAGAGACTCCTTTTTTATACCTGGTCATTATAGCAGATTCTGCACACCCATTTTATTTACAAAATATCTGCTTGTACTTTGCTATTCTGGCATATTCTAGCCTTATTATTGTATTATTTCTTTTATATGTATCAGAGTTCATTTCTGACCAAAATTCTAGTTTTAGGTCCAGTCTTAGTTCTAGTTGTAGAACTATCACTAGACCTAGAACAAGAAACATTTGGGTTTAGCCGCACGTCTCTAAAGACGGCTAAACCCGAATGATTCTAGTTCAAGGTCTTGTGTTAATTCTAGTGATAGTGGTAGTGCAAAACTAGAACTAACACTAGACCTAGAACTAGAAATATTCTGGTTTAGCCGTGCGTCTTTAGACGCACGTCTCTTAAGACGGCTAAACCCGAATGATTCTAGTTCTAGGTTTAGTGTTAGTTCTAGTTGTTAGTGATTTCGGCCATTTTGATTTTATAAAAATTAAGATATCTTGGATTTTTTGAAAAATTTTGACATTAGAGTTAGTAATTAAATAAAATATCTAAATATCAATACAATTTCTTAATATACTTCGTAATGCGACGAAATAAAAAGTAAGATATTAACTTACGCAGTATAGTAATTGGAAGTAATTGATTGGAGTTAGGTTGGGTTGCTTCCTTTTTTATGTATTGATATTGATGTGGATAGTAAAATAATGGTGTCGGTTAGTCAAAGAGAGTTAGTTAGTGGCGATTGTGTGTAATAGTAAAAAAGTGAACAAGAGCGTTGGCAGTTTGAAATTCTGATTGATTTTGCAATTGCGAACGTACATAGGAATTGGTACGAGACCTCGGAACGATATATCACATGTGTTGTGTCCACGGTTCGTTGGCTCAAGGTTCAGTTCGAAAGTGAACCTATAGTCGGCCATAACTGGTCTATACGGTTGTCTATTATTTACGGTTTGGCGTCGTCATTCGGTGTCGTTGACTAGTTCTAAGATGGCGGTACGAACACGTGTCCAGGTGAGACCGTGAAGAGAGTACCAAGAAGCGAGCGCGATGATGATGTGACGGTAATTTTAAGAAGGCAAGACGACGCACCGGCCGTACGGACGGTTACTATGACCCGAGGCCGATGGTTTTGCTCGGGCTCTTCTACTTGTTGACTTCTTGGAACGGGTTTCGTCGCTTTATTCGCTTCTTTCGCCTCGTAGGTGTTCACTTTTGTCTCCGTTGAGGCTAAGAAAGATGCAATCAGCCCGTTTGCCCTGTACTTACTACCACCGGTCCGGATAATATTAATTACTTTTACTTGGCGATCTTAAAATGTCAACGATTTAGATACTCACTTTGCGATATTTATCGCGGCTCGTAAAACGAAAAATAAATATTAACGCTTCCCATTAAATTTCTATTTGGAAATCAACTTTTAAAACATTTTAGCTATTCCCAGAAACATGACAGTATCGATATTTACCGGTACATTATTCACCAAGGCTATTAGCTTACTGCTTATAATTGCTTATAATTATCTGCGTCATCACTTTTCTAACGACCACTTCATTACTGCCGGTTTTCAATTTCTAAATTTAGTATCTATTTGCTAAAACTTTCTTATAATTGGTCGCTCAACCCAAATTTGTCCCACATTTATTCAACGATAATAATTATCGCCATAAAAATCTCTCTAGATAATTAAATAATCCGTTTATTAGATAGTTACATAAGAGATTTTTCTTTTGCTTGTGCTGTTAGAAGAAGTAAAAAAGGTTTTAGTTTTTTTGTTGATGAATATCCGTTGATATAAAAGCCTGACAACATCCTCTCATTATTTAATATAGTTATTTACAAGAGGACGCGATAAAAAAAGGTATTATTGGTTTGGTTCTAAAGGAAACGATCGACTTCCTCCTGCGGCAAAAACGTATCCTCTGAAGAAGTTAAGCGTAAAAGGAGCGACGAAAGAGCGTTAGCATTAGAAGAGATAACTGTAAACGAATCTGCGGTATAATGGTATCGAGATAGATGCTATTTGCATGTCATATGATTGTTGGGGGCCCCCGGAGGCTCGAGGCCAGTTTGTTGTCTTTGATGGCGATAGGTTCAAGAACCTTCTTGAACCTATCTACTTCTTTCCTTGATGGAGAAGTCGCCAGTCTTTGTGCGATTTTTCTCACATGTAATTCAATTATTTTCGCAATTAGGGTCGGTGTGGGAAGTGGCCGCGGCTCGAATTGCTTCCAAGCTAACCGAGCTAACCCGGGAACAAAAGAATAGAGGATCGCCTTGAAAATAATCACCGATATGCATTTATGATAGCCGCGATTTATATAACTGGATATTTTATTACTATAAACTTTCACTACACACTTTATCATTTTAATTTCAAAGCCTACCTCCATCTCTTTCAAAACGCTAATATCTCTTTCTATTTTCTTGCAGATAACAAGATGGAACTCAACAAAATTTATCAGTAACAATAAACGGTAGCCATGTCGCCATCATGGCTCATAAAAACCCACGACTACCTATGCCGTCACTTCCTTCTCCTACTGGCATTAACAGCCGTACTATGTCACGCCTGGTTACCAGACAGTTCCACGAAAATAATCAACGCCATAAGCAAAACCACCACAATTAAGTTCGACTCCAAGTCCAACATCCCAGAACATTTCATCGTTCTTCACCAAGACGAAACGTCCATCCTCCTCGGCGGCCGAAACTCAGTTTACAATCTCAGCGTCACCGATTTTTCCGAACGGAAAGAGAACAAACTGGAATGGAGCTCAACAGAACCACACGTCGAGTTATGTCTCCTCAAAGGAAAACGCGTAGAAGACTGCCAAAATTATATTCGCATTTTAGCAGTTACATCGCAAAATCAAATTTTCGTTTGTGGAACTAATTCGTACAAACCTATGTGCCGATATTATAATGTACAAGTAAGAAATTTTTTTTAACAGATTATTTCGGAAATTATGTATGTACAATAAAATCTCTAAAAGTCCTAAGTATCACGAATAATATTTAGGGAGATTATTGAAATAAGACATTATTTATGGCATCCCATGGCCGCCCCAAATATTGTTCTTGATATCAGAAATAATCTTAGTCTCTGGTTACGAAATCCTGCCCTAGAACATGCTCTCCGCCTATATGCAACCCAACCCAATCCAATCCAACCCAAGTATCACGAACAATTTCTTATATCAACAGAAATAATCTCGGCCGACTTCGAAAATGTCGGCCGCCCCAGGTATTATTCGTGATACTTGGGTTGGGTTGTCTATAGGAGAAGATCATGCTCATTATTCCTTATATTAACAGAAATAATCTCGGCCGACTTCGAAGACGTCGGCCGCCCCAAGTATCACGAACAATACTTAGGGCGACCGAAGTCTGCCGAGATTATTGAAATAAGACATTATTTATGGCATCCCATGGCCGCCCCAAATATTGTTCTTGATATCAGAAATAATCTTAGTCTCTGGTTACGAAATCCTGCCCTAGAACATGCTCTCCGCCTATATGCAACCCAACAAAATCCAATCCAACCCAAGTATCACGAATAATACCTGGGGCGACATTTTCGAAGTCGGCTGCCATAAGTATTGTTCGTGCTGGAGCATGATCTTCGCCTGCAACCCAACCCAAGTATTACGAACAATACATATAGCGGCCGACGTCTTCGAAGTCGGCCGAGATTATTTCTTATATCAGCAGAAACAATCTCGGCCGACTTCGAAGACGTCGGCCGCCCCAAGTATCACGAACAATACTTAGGGCGACCGAAGTCTGCCGAGATTATTGAAATAAGACATTATTTATGGCATCCCATGGCCGCCCCAAATATTGTTCTTGATATCAGAAATAATCTTGGTCTCTGGTTACGAAATCCTGCCGTAGAGCATGCTCTCCGCCTATATGCAACCCAACAAAATCCAATCCAACCCAAGTATCACGAATAATACCTGGGGCGACATTTTCGAAGTCGGCTGCCATAAGTATTGTTCGTGCTGGAGCATGATCTTCGCCTGCAACCCAACCCAAGTATCACGAACAATACATATAGCGGCCGACGTCTTCGAAGTCGGCCGAGAGTATTTCTTATATTAATAGAAATAATCTCGACCGACTTCGAAGATGTCGGCCGCCCCAGGTATTATTCGTGATACTTGGGTTGGGTTGGGTTGCATATAGGCGAGGATCACGAACAATACTTATGGCGGCCGACGTCTTCGAAGTCGGCCGAGATCATAGAAATAAGAAATTATTTATGGCACAAATATTATTCGGCCATCTCGGCCGACTTAGAAGATGTCCGCCATAAGTATTGTTCGTGCTGGAGCATGATCTTCGCCTGCAACTCAACCCAAGTATCACGAACAATACATATAGCGGACGACGTCTTCGAAGTCGGCCGAGATTATTTCTTATATCAGCAGAAACAATCTCGGCCGACTTCGAAGACGTCGGCCGCCCCAGGTATTATTCGTAATACTTGGATTGGGTTGGGTTGGCTTGCATATAGGCGAGGATCATGCTTTATCACGAACAATACTTATGCGGCCGACGTCTTCGAAGTCGGCCGAGAGTATTTCTTATATTAATAGAAATAATCTCGACCGACTTCGAAGATGTCGGCCGCCATAAGTATACACTACTTTACTTTTACTGTACTTTAATTATTATTAATTAGCATTAATGTCAAAAAAATTCAGGAGTTATTAAGTGACTGATTTTAGCAGATTCTGCACATTTATTTACAAAATATCTGCTAGTACTTTGAAATTCTGGCATATTATAACCTTATTATTGTATCATTTTTGATCAAAATTTCTAAATTACTTTCTTATTTATTTCAAGAATGGGCAATATAACGTGGAGAATGAAGTCCAAGGAACAGCAAAATGTCCTTACGATCCGGAACATAACAGCACCGCCGTTTTTAGTAACGGCCAATTATATTCGGCTACCGTGGCTGATTTTTCCGGAGGAGATCCTCTTATTTATCGCGAACCTCAACGAACTGAATTATCAGATTTGAAACAATTAAATGGTAAGATAAATTAATAAATCAAAAGTAAATGTGTTTACTTAAATTTTTTGTAGCTCCAAACTTTGTCAGCTCATTACCTTACGGCGATTACATATTCTTCTTTTACCGAGAAACGGCGGTTGAGTACATAAATTGTGGAAAAGTAATATATTCGCGCGTGGCGAGGGTTTGTAAGGATGATAAAGGTGGGCCGCGGCAATTTCGTGAGAAATGGACGTCGTTTTTGAAGGCTAGATTAAATTGTTCAGTTCCTGGAGAATATCCCTTCTATTTTGATGAGATTCGTAAGTTCCCAAAAATAAAATCTTCTTAAAAAGCTAATTTTTTAATTTTTCTTTTGCAGAATCTACAAGTGATATTATCGAAGGTAATTATGGGTATAATGGGACAAACAAAATCATTTACGGGACCTTAACAACCCCAACAAACGCTATTGGAGGATCAGCGATATGTGCATACAGCGTAAACGACATTCTTGCGGCTTTCGATGGGAGTTTCAAACACCAAGAGACGATGAATTCCAATTGGTTACCCATCCCCGAGGATAAAATCCCCGAAGGAAAACCGGGTCGATGCGTTCAAGATAGCCGATTGCTTTCGGAAAGCATCGTAAACTTTGTAAAGTCGCATTCATTAATGGAAACCGCCGTTCCTGCGTTTTTTGGCAAACCTCTCTTAATCCGGGTAAGTCAAGAATATCGTTTTACATCGATAGCGGTTGATCCCCAAGTTCCAACCGTGAATGATGGAAAATTGGACGTTTTATATGTCGGTACAGACGATGGGAAAGTATTAAAAGTCGTCAACATAGCTTCAGGAAACACCACAAAAACCGTGGTGATATCCGAAAGCGTGATTTTAGCCAAAAAAGCGCCTGTTAAACAATTAAAAATCGTTCCTGGTTACGGTAAAGTTGTTGTTGTTGGTATCGAAGAAGTCCGCTTGGCTACGTTGAATCATTGCGAAAACATGAAGAGTTGCAACGAATGCGTATCTTTACAAGACCCACACTGCGCATGGGATGATTACAACTTCGCATGTGAAACCCTTGATGAAACGATATCAAAAAGAACTTCTTTAATCCAAGACATTAAGTTCGGAAATCCCCAAAAATGTAATATGCCAGGAAATAGAAAACCATTCTTTCCCAACAAAGAAATTTATAAAAACACAATTAACGACGAAGATCACCTCAATATAAACAACGATCTAAATAACGACGAAAGCATCAAAGATTGTGGTGATGATGAAAGCAACGAAATTAGAGCTGGTTGTGCCATACAACAAGCCCAAATGGATTGTGCTAAAAAATGGCAAAATATTGGAATAATAGCAAGTTTGGCTTGTTTAATTATCGGTTTTATTTCTGGTTATTGCATGTCAAAAAAGTGTCAACATGGTCCTCAATATCCAAATCCGACTCCTTTCATAGAACAACACAATCATTTGGATCGATCAACACCGAGAGCTACGAAATCGGTTAATTTAAATGTTTCGCAAAATAATCCGCAACCTAAAAAGGACAATCTCGATATAAGTAAAGATTTGAATATTTTGGATCATGACACGGGGACGTTACAGAAAATAAAAAAAACTTACATATAAATTTGTGAATAAAATAAAAAGTGTACCTGCTGATGAACTAAAAACGAATTAAATCGCGTGACAATTAATTAAAGCCACGTTGGTGTGTGTGATGTGAAAAAAAATATAATCGATTTTAATTAAAAACTAAAAAAGAAACTTTAAAGAATACTCATCCTGTAAATAAAATTTCAAAAATTTTCCCAATATAATTTTTAAGTCTAAATTCTAGCTTAGTAATTTTAATCTTTTTTTTTGTATAAAAGTCGCTCAACAAAACCCAAAACATGGCAACGAGGAAGCGTAAAGTTTTATTTACGTGACTCTTTTAAAAGATAATTGTGATAATCCTAGAGGCATCTATATTAAGTACTGTAAGGTTTGCGAACTGAGAACCCTCCTCTCTTTCGATTGTATAGTACAAAATGGAATTTATATCTAGAACCACGCTAATTATAAATAATATATATTCAATGTAATTGTCTTTACGCAATAAATATAAGTAATAGAATTATATTTTCCTACAACTTATCTATCTGTTTATGACTGTGATATTCAGAAATTTCGTATGCCTTATAAACGCCTATATTTTTTAAATGAAAATTAAAGCATAACAGTCAAAACAGATATGTACAACGCGAGAATGAAAAATATTTATCGCGATATAAATGATACATTCCACTGACACGATTCTACGTATTACTATTTTAGCAATAAATAAAATACACACAAAAAATGCTTTTCTTTTAATAATCCTTTTATTACTTAAACAACAAATCTTACAAACCAGGAACAATATTAATCATCATGCCTCTGTACCCAGAAAGAGCATGTTGAGCTCGAGAAGCATCTCTTATATCCATAAAGACAACTTCCCCCGACCCCAAAGAGTTACCATTTGTATTACGATGAACAGCAATGTTCAAAATCCTTCCATAACCACCAAAAATTCTTCTAAGATCTCCTTCGTCAATATTAAAACACAAATTTTTAAGGAAGAGTACTCCACGATTTTTTCGATTATAAGTATTCCTTCTCCTGATTTTGCTTGCTCTATTATAAGACCTTCGAAAATTATCTCTAGTATTTCCATTCGAGGTGATTACTGGAATCGATGAACCTGACGGACTATCAAATAAAAGGAAATGTATTAAATTTTTTTTTTAATTTATTTATTTACCCGTTTAATATCGAAGAGTTTCTCTCAGTCAACTCCGAAGTTGTTGAATGTACTTCTTGTTCATCAGAGGAATCATTACGAGGAGTATAATTGTAACTGAAAATTAGAAGAATTAGATATAGAAAAACTTTTAGAATCATGCATCATGCGAAAACCTGCTCTGTCTATAGTGCCTGACATGTAAAGACGATGTGATGATGTGCGTTTTGGAGAAGGAGGATGGAGAGGTGATGATGGGAGATAAACTTAACACCCCAAAAAGACACAAATACTAAATTTTAAGAAAAAACAAGATGAAAAATGAAACCAGCAACAAATACTCCATACTATGTCGAGAAATCGGATATGTTGGAAGATCTCTATTACTTCCAGAAGAAAGCACTGAGTGATATACTGTCAAATAGAAAGTGCAATGTGGTGAGAAACTTAAAAGCTAATGAAGACCTGCTCAATGACGGTAATGCAGAGTCTGGAAAATTGCTCATTTAAATTTCTCAAGTATTTCATGGCTTGTGTGGCATGTCTCTGTCCATAACATCAACTATATGCCAAAAAAGATTTATTTTTCTTCTTGAAACTGTTTCAAAACTTACAAGTTTTGCTTGTTAACATAGCCATCAAGGTAACATCATCAAAAGAATTAATAAAAAAGTTTTTCCAAAGCTTTTTGTCATTCAACTTTATAATAATTACCTAGAAACTCCTGGTCTTTGTGGAATAATGTTAGTAGTTGAGTCTGGTTCAACAAATTCTCTCAATGGTGACAATCTTGAAGGACCCTGTTGTGGGGTCGCTCTTTGAACTTGCCCAGAATGCCTTAAAAAAATTAATTACAGAAATAAACCTAAATAAATGATTAATAATTACGTAGGTGCAGGTATGTTGGCCAAATTTCTCATTAAAACGCTTGGTGCTTGATAACGTATTCCATGGTTTGGAACGAACCTCGAAGCATTAAACATAAAATTTTGTGGGTTATTTCGCCCCTCACCTTGTCGTTGAGACATACTTATGCCCTAAGATGAAAAAGAAAGAAATAAGGTTTTAAGAACAAGTAATGTTTCGCTTACTTTCTTGGAAGTGTTGATGATTCTAACCGTTCTATCGATACTGCTGCAAGAACACGCGAAATTTGATAAACAAACACGATATTTAACCGGTAACACTAGAACTTCCGAGGACGATTAAGACGCTCGAGTTCGATAAAGCAATCGAATTAAGATATTTTTTAAGAAAATCGATCCACGATAAACTATAAACATGTATTATTACCAATTCTTTTTCGGAATCTTAATAATTTCCTAAACAAATTTAAAATGACTTAGCTAAGTTGGTACGTTACGGCATCAACTGCGCATGTGTCACTCGACATCCACGGATAACTTCAGATGATTCGAATTTCTTATTATTCCGTTGAATAAATTTTTTAACAAAAAGATTAATCATCAAATTTTATTATAAAACTATTTCAAAAAAATGGATTTCGTTGTGTATATTAACTTACAATTAGAAAAGAATTATGGATTAATGATTTTGACATTTGGGTTGCATAACACAAAAAATTATTACAAGTAATTCTTAATAGTAATCAGTTACTTTGAGGCCACATATATTAGGATAATTAAAAATATTATGATGATCGATTAATTTCGAATGTGGCATAAGTTCGAATTCAAAGTTCAACGCAAAGGCAGGTCGATTTATTGTGACACCAACCATAGCATTTTCAGCTTCCTCGGCAGTCTCATATATCACTAAATAATTAAAAACGTCGAATTCCAAACGAGCCTCCATGATACGCATAACAGTTCCATAAGAACTCATCATGTTTCGAATGCATAAAGTGCTTACTGAGCGGGCGTTGGTAATGAAGACACCGGCGTAATTATCTCCCATATTCGGTGAGGTGAAACCTTTCTGTTCTTGGCGACTATAATTCCCCGCAGATTTATTCTCAAATTCGTCTGAAATCAATAAATTTAATTAAATCACTTTTTAAAACCGTTTTATTTTACCCATTTTAAACCACGCGATTTTCAAACAAACCAAGATGGCTGCTGTAACGTCTTGTGTGTAAACATAGAAGTGGTACCAACTTAATTTTGAATTATTAGTTTTGATTAATTAATTTAATTCAAACTTATTTATGAATTTAATTATTGTATTAAATCAATTATTGATTAATTAATTACGAATTTACTAAAAATTAATTAAAATTAAAGTTTTTAAAAAGTAAAGCGTGAGGTCGGTACAAAACTAACCTAAAAACGGTAGTTGGAAATTTTGAAAGTTGTTAGCTGTCATTTCTGACTAAAATTTTGTTGATCCAAGATTGATATTGTTTAAATTATAATAAAAATGGGAAATGTTACAAGTTTTTTGGTTGGGCAACTAACTACTGTAAGAAATTGGTGGATTTCGAAGGAAATGAATGTAAGAAATTCGTTGAATAATGAAGTTGTTTTGGACCGAGTGGAGGAAATCGAGCAAGGAGTTTTAAGCAACCACGCTGGTATTTATATTTCTAATGTTCCGCTGTGTTTTGATATGCTGTGGATTAAGGACATGGTGGGTCCATATGGGGAAACTAACCATATCACTGCGTGGCGTCTTCCTAAGAACATGTATCATTATTTGGTGGTTTATGCAACCGAAAAAGAAACCCTACATGTCTTGAATAATCTAGTCTCAAATTTGCCAGCTTTTGCGAATGATTTTGAATTTTTCTTCGTGTCGCATAATGTGTTGGCTAATCTTTGGAATGTCCCAATCGATTGGGATGATGATGTTATCGATGTTAACTATGTTTAATAAAAGACTTATTTAATTTTATTTATAATTTTTATTTAACATTCCAAACCCACACCATTTTTTTAATAAAATTTTCTTATATATACAACAAACTCGGCAACTCCACACAGTGGATAATTAAAAAAACAATTTTCTTTCAGAATCAAACTAAATCAGCATCGATTTTAGCACCCATTCTTTTCAAAGCTCTGATGGTGTTAACAGCTTTAATCCAGCGCTTTTTAATAACGTATCGCTTCAATTTCTTCTTGCTTAGCTCCATTTCGGAATGAACAGCTGTGGCCAACATCCAAGGATGATCCATCGCTTGTCTTGGGGTTAATCTAGCACTGCAATTCAATATTAAAGTGGGATAAAAAATGAGAATCAAATAAAAAACTGTTTTATTACATTTCATTTTTTTAACAAAGACAACAAATACGAACGAATAAATAAGTAAGAAATGACGAAAATAATAAGAAAAAGAAACGATATAGCATGGTCCCAAAAGTCTCGAGAGTTTGTAGATCAAATGCAAAAGCTTTATAAATAATTAAATTAAATAATAAGTTACGACAAATAAATGAATATAAACGTTATAATTATACAGTGTGTTAATTAATTATCGCACCCGACGTCATCATATATTGCAATACCAATACTGTGATATTGGTTGCATACCGATATGACGTCGGATACGATAATTAATTAACACACAGTACTTTCTCTTCTATTTATTCGAAGTTGTACGCCTCGTTTGGAAAAATGTATTCAAAGAGTTAATAGTTTTTTGCCCAACTAAACTTTCGGATTCAGAATATTCAGTAGAAATCGAACTGTGCCTAATCTTTTGAACTTTCGGACCTTCCCAACGATCTAAAAGTTTCAAAAGGACATCTTTAGTGTTCACCGGATTATCTGATGTCGAACTGTTCGAATTAAAAACGTTTAATCTCGAATTAAATTGTTCTCTAAACGTGTCCGAGCTTTTTTTACGAGGGCTGATTGGAACATCTCTACTCGATTGATTTATCTTATTATGTTGTCTTCTCCACGGAACTGTGGTATCAACGTTTTTTTCTGACCGTGTAGTTTCTGTTACTGAATGAAACGCTGAATTAGAATTAGAATATGTATTTGAGTTAGATTGAATCGTCGTACAATTTAAATTTGGACTGATAGTAGAAAGTTGAAAGAGTTTGTCAGAAAGTTTACGAATTTCTTCGGCTAAATTAAGCCTTTCGACAATATCTGGTGATTTGACCACCCCGTAACTATCCGAAGCTCTTCGAAAATGATCTGGAACTGGATACTGAAAATCTTTTTGGAAACTATCCCGAGAATTAAAAACGAAGAAATTATCATCAGATCCGAGGGAAGAACTTAAAGATTCCGGTGGAGATGGGTTTGAAACCACCAAAGAGTTCAACGACTCGGATAACTTTAAGCTTGAACTCATACAAGGTAAAATCGAATGAGACGAAACTTCGAATAAATATGGGGAATTTGGGTGATCGCTCCAGCGTTCAACAAATTGCTTCAAATTATCTTTGGTTGTGTCCATTTGGTTTGTTTGAAGCTTCTTCACTCTCCTTTGCAACCAAGCGTGTTTCAAACACTCGGTGGACGTCATGCGTGCACTGGAAAAAGAAAAAAAAACTACAAAGACCTCTTTAAAAATTTGGAAAAACTCATAAATAGAAAGAACCCAAATTAGTTAATTTTTTCAAAGAAGTTTTTAGTCATAAAGATTTGGTTTGAAAAGAAAACTAATTTGGGTCTTTGATATCTTTTTTTTTCTTTTTCCCGAAATCAAAAAATCAAAACAAAATAAAATAAAATATCAAAAAAAATATTATTAAGAAAAAAACATTTTTGCAAAAACTTTACTTACTTCATATCTTTCAAAAGTAGTTTTCTAATGAAATCTTTAGCGTTGTCAGAAATTTCCTGGAAGGCTTCATCGTCAAAATCATATTTGGCAATTGTCACATTGGCCATAGTTTCAATGTCGGTGTGTCCCATAAATGGTGAGAGACCAGATAATCTAAAGCAAAAAGAAATCATAATTAGATTTTGGATTTTTGACCTAATTAGTCAAAAGATCTACAATTTTACATGGTAAAGCCGAGGTAAAGTCGCTTGTGGTTGAGGCACCACAATATGATGACCAGACTCAAATTGATATAGTATATGTTTCTGCACATTTTAGAAACACATTTATTTATTCTTTACTTTTATATCTAATATTCCTAAATACTTACAAAACGTAACAAATAACTCCTATTGACCACATATCTGTTCCAAAACCGATTTGATCAAAGTTGACTACTTCGGGAGCGACGAATTCTGGTGTTCCAAAAAGGACTTGAAGTTTTTTTGTTGGATCAAATTTTCTGGCAAGTCCAAAATCGATGATTTTGATTCTGTTTCCGGTTTTTGTTAGACACAAAATATTTTCTGGCTAAAAAGAACGTTTTAAATTGAATAAAAAATGTGTATTTTTTACCTTCATGTCTAAATGAAGAATGTTTTGTTTATGGATAAACTCGATTCCCTCACATATCTGACGTATGAATACGGTGCAGCTTTTTTCGGTTAATATGAAATCGTCGTCGATGACTCTTTCGAAGAGTTCTCCTCCTTCAATTCTAATAAAATTATTATTAAAAGTTTTTGTTGGTGTTTAAAAGGTGGCTTACAATTCTTGCACAACACACATAACCTTCCCATTTTCAAAGGCATCATATAATTGGATTAATCTGGGATGTTGCAGTTGTCGCATGATATCAACTTCTCTTTCAACATTTCTACGATCTTCTTTTTTGGGGACACCGATAAATTTTGCGGCCAAACTCAAACCGGTCGCTTTTTCAGTACATTTATAAACAGTACCAAATTTTCCCCTAAAATTTTTTTTTAATTTTTCTATAAGAATTTTTAATTTGAATTAATTTAACCTTCCAATTTCTGCATCTAATTCGTAAAGATCTTTGGGGTTCACACCTCTTCGTATTTTAACATCTCGATATGGAAATGATAGTTCAACTTCTATTAAAAAGAGAGAAATGAAAAATAATTTATTGAATAACAAAAAATAATAAAAAGAATGAGGAGGTGGATTTGAATCGGAGCCAATTGGATAAATGCCTCTAGTTATGTTCAAATTTTGTTTTGAATAAATCATTTTTAATAAAATAAAGTTAAAGCAAATTTGTTTTATGTTAACTTACCTCCGATGGGATCTTCTTCATCTACTTTGATCATATTTCAACCTACAAAGAAGGAATGGTTTGATCTGTTCAACAGTGCATCTGTGCAACCTTCGGGCGAATACGATCAGCCATGACACAAAATGTCAAAACACGATTCGAAAAATCTTATTTTTAGATTAACGTCGTAATTATTATTATTTATTTTTTTGATTTTAAACGTACCCTTAAGACGATGCTTGGTTTTTTATTTTTGGTTGAATGTTGAAGGTGGTTGGTGGAGAATTCTATTCAGATTTTCAGACTTGCAGACTGTGGCCGTTGTCAAACACCGACACAACACTGTTAGCAAACTGTGGAGTTACAAGCGGTTCAGGGCATCGAGCCGCTAAAATTAGATGTTCCTGCTTGCCTTTTAGTATTTTCAGCCACGTGTCAGGCGAAGAATTCATAAGATTTTTTTCTACCAAAATTCAAATGATACATAAAAATGTTTTTTTATAAGTGTATATTTATCAACATGCTCCAAAATTATAAAAAAGTAACTACACTAAGATTTATTTAATTAATTCTAGTAAATACGGTAATATTATTTCTTGATAATTAACTAAATTTATAACAATTTTAGGAAATTTTTTATCTACAACATTTAATATTTGATATGTTAACTATTTTACTTATATATTTATTTAGTTAATTTATTATTTTTTAATAATAAACGTAGAATCGTGTCGACTACAATAATAAGAAGCCGTCATGTAAGTTTAAAAAGTATTGGATTAACCAAAAATCTTGACAAAGAATAGGAGAGATCCCAATAAAACAGCAAACGTGGATGGTCGCTTTATAAAACCACCTGTAAATAAATAAACAAATAATCGCGATTTATTTAGTGATTAATGAACCTCGTTTAATTGCAAGAAGAGACCTTTTCAAAATTTAAACAATTAATTCAATTCACCGTACGTCAACAGAAAACTATACGTTCGCGCAGAAACTAGAACGACATTTACATAAATCGATGATTGTAAATTTACATGCAAATATAAATCTTATTGATTAATCATGAGTGTGCGTGAGTTTTGCTTTAGAAAAGGCAATGTTGTTCATTTTCTTTGCTACGTATTAAAAACAGATTTCGTCTAAAATCAATATCAAAACGTGTAATATACATTGTATATAGTATAAAAGAAATCATAATTAGTCTACTTTCTATTCTTTTCAAAAAAGAAATTATCTTTATCTTTACTCACTGTTGCAATCGCGTGCTTCCTGATTTTCGTCGCATAAGCATAAATTTGCCTTCACTGAATTTGACATTTTACAACTTGATCCATCTACGCAATCATCATCCTTATTACAAATATGAAAAGGTTCTGAAACATTTTCAAAAATATATATATATAAGAATTTTTTTTAAATTTAAAAAACATATTTATATAAAGGATGGTAGAATCTAAAAGGAGTGCTACATCCCATTAATAAAAAGGCCCGTTCGTGACGTCACCACTCAATAACAACTAAAACTAGAACTAACACTAAACCTAGAACTAATTATGATTACTTCAAAGATTTATATCTCAAGAACTAAAAGTGATTCTTCAAAACGGACTTTTTCATTGAAAAGTAGATGCTTTAATTTATAATTGGTGAAAAATTTATAATGATGTTTCAAGAAATCGATTTTTTCCAACATTTCGAAATTAGTATAGGGAACTTAAAAATTACCAGAAATTATGATTGAGTTAAAAGATGTGTATCTCAAGAACTAAAAGTGATTTTTCAAAATGGAGTTTTTCATTGAAAAGTAGATGCTTTAATTTATAATTGGTGAAAAATTTATAATGATGTTTCAAGAAATCGATTTTTTCCAACATTTTGAAATTAGTATAGGGAACTTAAAAATTACCAGAAATTATGATTGAGTTAAAAGATGTGTATCTCAAGAACTAAAAGTGATTTTTCAAAATGGAGTTTTTTGTTGAAAAGGAGATGCTTTAATTTATAATTGGTGAAAAATTTATAATGATGTTTCAAGAAATCGATATTTTCCGACATTTTAAAATTAGTATAGGGAACTTAAAAATTACCAGAAATTATGATTGAGTTAAAAGATGTGTATCTCAAGAACTAAAAGTGATTTTTCAAAATGGAGCTTTTCATTGAAAAGTAGATGCTTTAATTTATAATTGGTGAAAAATTTATAATGATGTACCAAGAAATCGATTTTTTACAACATTTTGAAATTAGTATAGGGAACTTAAAATTACCAGAAATTATTCATTGAAAAGGAGATGCTTTAATTAATAATTAGTGATAATTTCATAACGATTCTCCAAAAAATCGATTTTTCCTAAATTTTTAAAGTAAGTACAGAAAAACTTAAAAATTACCAAAAATTGTGATTGAGTTAAAAGATTTATATCTCAAGAACTAAAAGTGATTTTTCAAAATGGACTTTTTCATTGAAAAGTAGATGCTTTCATTAATAATTGGTGAAAATTTCATAACGATTTTCCAACAAATCGATTTTTTCCAAATTTTTAAAGTTAGTAACTTTCTAGTTCTAGGTGTAGTTTTATTTCAGTAAAAGTTTTCGAGTCAGCATCAACTTTTAACATTTAATAATTGATGATCATACATCTTAATTTTTCACAAGGAGTGAGTGCCATAAATTATTTCTTTTTACTCATCCAATTTCATTTAAATTTATTAATTCTAAAAATTTCGAAATCTAATTATTAATTAGTCTGCATTATAAGGTCAAGTGTTAAATTTAAATTTAATACTTAGTGATTTTATAAAAGAAAACATTGTTTAAAGAACTACGCGATTATGGTAATGTGCACTTGACGTTCGTGCGGCTCGCAACTTTATCGGGTTTTATATCGTTAACGCATTGCAGCAGCCGGTTGATTTCGTTTTAAATGGTTTTGTAAAATAAATAAGAGAAAAAAAATAATTTTCAAAAATGTATTGAGTGGGTTAATTTATCTTGATTAATGTTGGTTTCCTTTAACTATCCAGTTGCTAACCTAGTTTAAAAATTATGTCGAGCAAGCTCGAACTTGAATACATTACGTTTGATTTATGCTAGCGCCGTTTTTGACCCGATTGTGGGAATCGCATTTGCATGTTTATTTCGTTGTTCAAACAAATTATTGTACCGTATCTTTTCGGGCTACGTTTTATCAGGTTGCAGGTGCCATAAATATTTAAAGTCCGATTATCAACACAAATAATCTTTACCTTTTTTAACTGTTGGACAAACTCCGTTACGAGGAGGCTGATTGTTTCCACATAAACAATACAGCTTGTTGATGGAATTGGCATATTCGACGCAGCTAGTTCCATTCATACCTTTACAATCATCGTGGGTTGTACAATCTTTTGCATGTACTGAAACAGAAAAAATAGTTACTCTTATAATCGAAACAAACAACAGATTTTCCCACCAACACCAACAAAGAAGCCAGAAAAAATAATTAATGATATGAAAGTAATGCAGTTCATGATGTGAGCTTGGATGACACAGAAGGAATGAAATTTTATGGTAAAATTCGATTGCGCTTTTTAAATGTATCAATCGAAGCATGAAATGACAGTAGTACCATCGGGTGAAATGGCACTGCATGTTATCTGGTAATTTAAAATAAAATGATGATTTAAAAAAATGTCCATATCGTGTACATTGTGGGGTTGAGATTGGCGGCACAGTTGGAGACCTCCCGAAGGTTGAAAGGCCATGGGCATGGTTAAAACCTGCCAGTAGCAACAGGATGGGAACGGACACTGTCACATACAAAGCGTTCATCTTGCTCGAACACTTGGAAGGTTGTATCGCGATTGGTCGTACACGGTGCTGTATGGTTCAAAGTCTGCCGATTTGAAGGCGTTTTTCAGGCGTCTGCGCCGGCCCCTAAGAATAACCACCACTGCACGTGTATTTTACTTGGAATTGCCACCTTAAGGATTTCTACTCGATAAGCTTCGACCTTAGCACGCAAACCATTGCGTCACAACGTCGTGGGGCCTTATACAATCCACCGTGTATTTCCACGCCGTAAATCACGCCCTCGATCTGATTCTTTTCTTTCCATTTTTTTTCTTCAGGAATCAACCACAGCTATCACAATCACCATCTTCTGGTTAAAGGTTAACACGGAACTACCCTTATGTTTTTATACTGAAATTGAAAAAAATTAATTTAAGTTACAAAATTATTGCTTATTACTTATTGAAATTCAAATTACACCTTTAATTATTGTTTTGGAATATTATATAGAAAGACATAATTTTACATATTTAAATGAGTAAACGAAAAATTATGAATAGTGTATGAAGGGTCGTATTAAGAGTAGGTTCATTACCCTTAGTTCTTGCTTTATCATTCACCGTATTAACCCCAAAATTGGTTAATGGAGGAACATTCTTTTAGAATAGACTAGTGGTGGAACGGATATCCGGCTAAAAATCGTATAAAATCCATTTTTTGGAATATGAGTTTGAAAATTGTTAATAAAAGTGTCCTTTTTCCAATAAACCAACCCACTTTGAAAAATAACTTTTAGTTTTTGAGAAAACAATATTTGAAGTTTTGATAAAATTTTCGATGTTGCAATAATTTTCAAAATTCGCTATAAAATTAATTTCTTGAAGGATCTTTCTGAAAATATCACCAATTATTAATTAAAGTACCCCGTTTTTAATGCAAAAAGTCGTTTTAAAAAATCACTTTTAGTTCTTGACAAATAAATTTTTGAAATGATCAAAAAAATTTTCGATTTTTGCAATTTTCGCCGATTAAGTTTTAATAATTCGTATAAAATCGATTACTTGGATTATGAGTTTAAAAATTTCCCAAAGTGTTAATAAAAGTGTCCTTTTTCCAATGAACCAACCCGTTTTGAAAAATAACTTTTAGTTTTTGAGAAAACAATATTTGAAGTTTTAATCAAATTTTCGATGTTGCAATTTTCATCGATAATTTTCAAAATTCGCTATAAAATTAATTTCTTGAAGGATCCTTGTGGAAATATCACCAATTATTAATTAAAGTATCCTCTTTTTAATGCAAAAAGCCGTTTTGAAAAATCACTTTTAGTTCTTGAGAAATAAATTTTTGAAATAATCGACAATTTTTTCGAATTTTGCAATTTTCGCCGATTAAGTTTTAAAAATTCGTATAAAATCCATTTCTTGGAATATGAGTATGAAAATTTCCCAAAGTGTTAATAAAAGTGTCCTCTTTCCAATGAACCAACCCGTTTTGAAAAATAACTTTTAGTTTTTGAGAAAACAATATTTGAAGTTTTGATCAAATTTTCGATGTTGCAATAATTTTCAAAATTAGCTATAAAATTCATTTCTTGAAGGATCCTTCTGGAAATATCACCAATTATTAATTAAAGTATCCCCTTTTTAATGCAAAAAGCCGTTTTGAAAAATCACTTTTAGTTCTAGAGAAATAAATTTTTGAAATGATCAAAAATTTTTTCAATTTTTGCAATTTTTGCTGATTAAGTTTTAATAATTCGTATAAAATCGATTCCTTGGAATATGAATTTAAAAATTTCCCAAAGTGTTAATAAAAGTGTTCTCTTTCCAATGAACCAACCCGTTTTGAAAAATAACTATTAGTTTTTGAGAAAACAATATTTGAAGTTTTGATAAAATTTTCGATGTTGCAATAATTTTCAAAATTCGCTATAAAATTGATTTCTTGTAGGATCTTTCTGGAAATATCACCAATTATTAATTAAAGTATCCCCTTTTTAATGCAAAAAGCCGTTTTGAAAAATCACTTTTAGTTCTTGAGAAATAAATTTTTGAAATGATCGACAATTTTTTCGATTTTTGCCATTTTCGCCGATTAAGTTTTAATAATTCGTATAAAATCGATTACTTGGATTATGAGTTTAAAAATTTCCCAAAGTGTATGTCAAAACAATATTTGATATAATTTTCGATATCCATCACTAGAATACCAAATTTTAATTTTAACAACCTTGATTCTCGAAACATAAAAATAATAAATAAAAAAATAACATTATTGACTTACCCCAGTAACACAAATTTATTAAGTAAAAATAAAAATGACACTTCGATTAAGAACACAAATGACAAAAATAAAAATTACGAGAGATCTTTTTATACCCATCTGTTATCTTAAGATTATACCCATCATTTCTGGGTAATTCACCAGTTCTCAGATATATCCTCTCTCCTTAATTTCAAAGTCTTTCGGACGAGATTGTCTTCTTTTGGCTTTAACATTAATTTCTACAATTTTATAATTTCGATCGGTTTATTGTGAGAATAAAAGAATGTTCTGCTTTTAGTGTTTATAGATGTTTTGAATTGTATTTTTGTTTGTCATGTAACAAATTCATGCTATATCCTTTCAAGTAGAATGATTTGCAATTTTTGTAAAAAACATCAAGAATTAACAACCTTCGATAGCTCAGTTGGTAGAGCGGTGGACTGTAGAAGTTGCGTAAAGTTGAAATCCATAGGTCGCTGGTTCAAATCCGGCTCGAAGGAAGCTTTTTTTTTTGTATTTCTTAAATCACAGTTTTTTATCTCAATTAAAAAAAAAATGGATAATAAATTACACGTTTTTAAGTAAAAAGCAAATAATTATTAATTATAAGTAAAGGGACAAATTTATGAGCAAAAAGCAATTTATGTAATGAGACAAATTGATGTTATCAATACACATTAATAAGCTAAGTTTGTACAGTAACATTTAATTCGTCTTACTACAAGTACTTACTTTAATACTCAATTTTGAGATATGGAAATTAATAATTTAAAATATTTAAAACCGTTATTTTTTTTATTAAAATACACAGGAGCGATACATTTTAACACAAATGCTTCATCAAAAGAGTACACTTTAACTGCATTTGTGTGCTTCATCTCTGATTTATCTTTAGTGTTTGCTTACCTCGTTATAGAATACGCTTACCCTCAAAATTTTAAGATGAAGAGATACGTCGAAATGCTAGGACATTGTATGCAGTTTATAAATTTTAGTAAAATAGCTATAATTAACATTTTTCGAGTGAAATATAAAAAAAATGTGGTGAGTATGTGGAAGGAATTAATGGCTACCGACGAAGCAATGAAACATTTTAACGGTTATAGTATTCCAAAATGGGTTTTTTATTTCGGTTTTTTAACTACGATCGTTTCGTTCTCGATCAGAACGATTTATTTGATATTTAACGCTTATAGGAATAGTCGCGAAACGGTTATTGCTGAAACGGTTATATTTTCTATAATCGCTTTGTTAAGTTTACCATATTCAGCGATAAGAGCTGAGTTCGTGACGATAATGCTACTGTTAGATCGGTACTTTAGAATAATTTACAAAGCTGTTGACGACGTTAAAGTTTGGAACGAAGCAAATGGGAAAATGTTGAGAGAGACTTACGTTAAATTATGTTCGGTTTCAACTAATGTCGTTGAAACACTAACTATTCCAATTGTTTTTTTAACGATCGAGGACGTTTTTCTTATGAGTATTCACGCACATAGTTTAATTTCAAAAATGTATGGGAGTAGAAACACAGAGTATTGGTTTTTGAGGTACGAAAATTCGATTTATAACGTTAATGAGTATTTGATATATTTATTAATACTTATTATTCCCGCTCATGTTTGTATGAAAAGTGTAAGTCTTCTTTAAATTTTTTTATAATCAATTTATGTTTCAATTATTTTAGGGTAATAAAATAAAAAATACTCTACGACGGTTGGAATTACCCGAAAATAAAGCGATTTTGGCGGATGTTAAATTATTTTGCTTGTTAATGCATCACGAAGATTACAAAATTAAACCGGCGGGGTTATTTAATATTGACTTCTCTTTAGTTTATGCGGTAAATATTTAAAAATTTTGTTTAAAAAGGTTGATTTAATTTTTATTTTAAGGTGATTGGGACTTTGATAACTTATATCGTTATAGTAGTTCAATTTGATTTAATGTATTTTAAATAAAAATATAATTTAATTATTTTTTAGTATTTATTAATTAAAAAATTATTGGATTTGGGAAAAAAAACTAAAAAACTGTAACAGCCTTCGATAGCTCAGTTGGTAGCCATATAAATTGTAGACCTCTGCTTCTGTATGGATATTTTTATTTTCCTAAATCATAATTACAACAAATTCATTCGTTCAATGTATTTCAAGATTAACATAAACCAGGATTAATTCCAACCAACCTAACTTGGCTGAGAACTGATCCAACCCAAGTCTATAGGGGCCCATACACGGTGATGCAAAACTGAAGCATGTTTGCATGCGAGCAAATGTGAAACGAAAATGATGGAACACACGGTTCAAATTTACTTGTCAGTTTTAGTATCAGTTTCATAGTGAGTTGTGACTAAAAGGTGTGACTTGTTACTATAATGAATGTAATACGACAAAATGATTTATATTTAATTGCTACTGCTATCGCAATAGTAGTGAAGAAGAAGAAAGAAAGGAAGAGAACAAAATGGGTAAAAAATTGGCTGAAAAAACGGAAACAGTATTCTCACGCGAATTTACTGAACGAATTACGGTTAGAAGTCGATGACTATAGGAATTATTTGCGCATGGATGAAAACACATATATTGAACTACTACATCTAGTAACGCCGCTAATAGAAAAGGAAGATACGATAATGAGAAAAGCTATTAGTCCTCACGAAAGGTTATCAACGACATTGCGGTTTCTAGCTTCTGGTCGGTGTTTTGAAGACTTAAAGTTTTCTGCAATCATATCACCTCAGTCATTAGGTAAAATCATACCTGATACATGTGCAGCAATTTGCCAAGTTCTTAGCAAAGATTACATAAGCGTAAGCACTTTTATAAAAAAAACAACTACTTATATTAAATATCAAATTGTATTTTTATAGTTTCCAACGACTGAATCGCAATGGATACAGATAGCGCGGGAATTTCAAGAAAAATGGCAATTTCCTCATTGTTTAGGCGCAGTGGATGGCAAGCACATCAGAATTGCACGACCAGCGAATAGCGGATCATTTTTCTATAACTATAAAGGATTTTACAGCATAGTTTTGTTAGGTATTGTAAATAGCAATTGTGAATTCTTGCTCGTCGACGTCGGTACCAATGGCAGAATTTCGGACGGCGGTGTTATAGAAAATACAAATTTTTACAACAAACTAATACATAATCTTCTAAATATTCCGGCAGAAAGACAAGTACTTTGTACTGAAACAAAGTTACCTTTTGTTTTTATAGGAGATGAAGCGTTTGCTTTACGTTCTAATTTTCTAAAACCTTTCAGTCGAAAAGAGTTGAGTTACGAAAACAAAATTTATAATTATAGATTGTCCCGTGCAAGAAATACGGTGGAATGTGCATTTGGAATGTTAGCTTCCAGATTTCGCATTTTGCACACCGAAATTAATTTGAAACTAGATAAGATTGAAAAAGTGGTATTAACATGTTGTGTGCTTCATAATTTTTTAAGATCAAAATGTGATCCAAATTTGGGCACGTCACTCACTTCAGATAGTAATATACGTGCAAACTTTACAATTCCTGGTTCTGAATCAGAAAATAAAAGAACCGTCCCGTTGCAACGTTCATATAATCGTCACGCAACCCAACAAGCAAAAGACGTCCGAGACCGTTTTGTAAGGTACTTTATTGATGATGGGCGCGTACCTTGGCAACATGATCGTGTTACATATCAAGAATAGTGGAAATGTTAATTTTGAAAATGTACTTACATAACACTGTTTCGTTATCATATATAGTGTATCGTGTCCTTATGTATCTTAACCCTGCTGTACGAATGAATAAAATAGATAAAACTTTCTACAGTTCTTTATTTAAAACAACAATAATTTAAAAAAATATATTAAAACAAAAATAGTAGGCATACATTATTCACTTAAGAATTGAGAATAATATTGCCCAGTTGGTAACGGCGTGCTCACTTGGGAATCAACATCCTGATAATTGTAGAATGGCTGATGAGCATGTTGCTTTGTTGAATGTTGAGAAACTTGTGGAATGATAATGTGAGCGTATCTGTTTAATGTTCCCAACTGTCCCTCAAACAAGGTATCGTTTATCAATTTTTCCGCAATTATTCTCATATTAGGGTCCAATTTTCGCAATTTTTCTGCCACATTTCGTCCTACAATATCAAATTCATCTTCGGCTCGTGAATTTTGGAGTTTTTCTCCAACGACTTGTAGAATACTATCAGTATCCACTTTACTTTTTTTTTGTCTACGTGGTTTGTTTGTAGATGATTTTGATGATATAGAGGTAGCTGATGAAGGTGTTGGTGGCATATCTGGCGTAGAAGGATGTGGGATATCTGTTTCAATATCATCGACATCATCATCATTTTCACTCTGTATAAACAGGATGATTTACATAGTAAATTATATAAAAATTATGTATACAGAGCGTTTCAAAAGTATTATTGTTTTCCATCTTTCATGTTATTTTGATATATTATTTTCTGTTTGCGTTTTTCTTTTTTTTGATGCGCGATTTTTTCATAAATTGTTTATAATAATTTTATCGAATTTATCCGTTACTTTTGAAACGTTTATCACTGTATATTAAATTATATATTATACAAAGTAAATTGTTAACGTCTTTTTTCACTTACTCCTGTCTGCCTAGTCATGAAATCAGGGTCATCGGTTGCTATGCTGTTTCTGGGGACTTCGTGGTCTTTAAGAAACATCAACAAATCAAAATACCACAAAGAAGGAGTATAGATGTCCTCGCTGCCTGCACCAGATTTTTTGGATTCTATGACCTTTTTATATTCTTTTCGAAAACAACTCCTCATTGAATTAATTTTTTTCTTTACTAAGTCAATGTTCGCAGCAGGGTTTATTTGCTTAAAAACTTCCACCAGTAGCTGGTAACCCTCATCCTTTTTATTTCGATCCATGTATTCGGCACTTTTCACTTTCCAAAGACAACTATTTTTTTGATAAACACTTATAAAATCTCGCATAACATCTTCTTGCTTACGCACAGCCATTTCGTAATAATTTTAATATTACTCTTGCGAAGATCAATTTAAAACTGAGAAGAATGGCATGAACTATCTCCACACGTACAAACTTGCACGCGGCGGGCCGTGCAAAATCAAGCTCAACCAGATCGTATCGTGCCATGTCTAGACCTGATAGCGTCGTCAGTTTTGAGACATAGACGATCACATTTGCTCGTGTGCATTAGCTCTTCGTGCAAATGTGACAGTTTTGCATCACCGTGTATGGGCCGGTTATAATAAATCCACTACAAAGCAAGCTACCTCTAAAGCAAATTACGCAAATTAATCCTAAAGTAATCCAACTCCAAAAGAATTTATTATTTATTAGAACAAATTAATAAAAAATACTTTATTTTACGCAACCAATATCACAGTATTGGTATTAAAATACGCGATTTGCGTATTTGGTTGCATACTTGCAATGATTACGTCTTATACGATAATTAATTAACATAGTGTACGTTAAAGTAGTAATTTAATTATTTAGATTAGACACCTAACATTTCTTTTTAGAAATCTATACTTTTACTCCAAGTTTATTTTGAGTTTTCGTTTATAGATGGCTCTAGTTTTACAATAATGAGAAATAAGTTTTAAATTTATTTTTAAAACGTTTCGAATAACGTGATTAATGATATTAATTTTGTGAAAATTTTAATTGAAATAAATTAATTATTGAAAAAGAGTTTTAAAAATTGTCGCAAATACATAGAATATCACCTTTACGTTGGTAATTAGTGGCGGTTCCGGAATGGAACAGCTTGATGCTTTGCAATTAAAGCAACCGGGTGTAGTACGGAACCCTCTCCCTTCTCCACTTAATCAAACAATGAGGGTGAAATTCTTGCAATTGCGTTGGAGAAAAATCGATTGGATTTAAAAGGAGGAGAACCTCTTTATTTTCTTTATTTTCTTTAGGGAAAGTAAAATATGTTAAACAATTCTATTTGAAACAAAATTTTTTAATTAAATTTTTTTAAATCATGTAAAACACGTGCAGACATTCATGCATATGTGAATTTGTCTTACGATCAAACGCAGACGGACCTAATTCGGTATGTAATGGAATGTCTAGGGCCAATTCATTTCCAACTTACACAGAAGAGTCGGTTCGGTAGTTCAGGAGATTTAATTGAAATCGAAAAAAAAAAGATTGGGTGAAAGACCCAAAAAAAAGCTAGATGAATTGATTTGTAATATAATATATTTCTTAACAAACATATGTTTATGCATAAATGACATTGTAAATATATATAAGAACAAATTACGGACACATATTTTTTTATTTATCAACAGCATTTTGATTTATCATATACTACGGTCAGTCTATGTAGAAAATAAAAATAAAAAAAAAAACTTATCATTATGTTGTGTGATACTAATAACGATTAAAATAAATTCGATATTGCAGACGGAAACGGGTGGATAATTAATTAAGTGATAAATGAATCATAATAATAATTAATGTTAATCCCTCAAAGTTATTTTTTTCTTCTCTAGGTACTAATAACGGTTTTTCCCCACATTTTTTTTTAATTTAATTTAATTAATCGTTCATTCGAAGTATGAGGTACCTGAGCAATTTATGAGGTTGATAATAATGCATTAATTTATTTCATTTTTTTTTCAATAAAAAATACCCTTAAATACACTTTTTTTATAATGTAAATCTTACGAGACATTTAAGCATTTTATTGGCCAAAATAACAAATAAAATGATGAAAAAGAATTTAAAAAGTTAATTTATTAACTATCTGTTTAAAAATAGTAACACCACCAACTTTCATAAAGGTTTACTATTAATTAATTAATTAATCCTAAAAGTAAATTATTGGTCATAGTTGTGATTAATAAAAAAATTAATGACTACGGATGGTAAGATTTTGGTTTTTTAATTTTTTATTTATTATTTTTTTTGGTAACGTTTTCGTATAATACCTAATAACTAAATCGTTGAGTTTACGTGAAGAGACAAGCACAGATATTGATTTTTAGCTAAACATTGAAAATTTGGTTACATATATGTATAATATATAATCTGAATCTCCTTTTTTTTAACTTTTTACTGTTTTCAAGCGGCCACGTTATTGCTTCCTTATATATAAATTCATTATTCGTTATTAGCTGATTTGACACAATTTAGAAAATAGTTATTTTCTTATCGAAAAATACATATTAAAATAATTCAGTCTTTACAATACACAAACGAGCTAGTACCTTAAAACCGTACGTTTTCTTTTTTATTTTCTTATTTATTTACACGTATTTTTAAAATGGTGACTTAACAATTTCCTCTCGATTCGGTTACTTTGGCATTTCAACGAATAACGGCTAAATATTATCGTTTCTACGTTTTTATTACTCAGCTTTGAGAGTTTTAAGTTCAATATTTATTTTAATGATTATTTAAGAATTTAAATTAAAAATTAAATTGGGCCTTAATAAATCATTAAAATAAATTTTTGGTGTTTAACAAATAATTGTAGTGATCTAAACGTATACAATATGTGGTCTGGCCTTTACGGGGGTGTTGTAAGATCCGTAAGGATTTCTATCATCTCCATACGGTTCCCAATTCGGTAATGTTTTGTATTCTCTAATTAAAGACGGTCCTATAATATATTTGTCTGCAATTGGTTCTTCGTAATGATGGGCTTCTTCTGGCGTTGTTGGAACGTTTTGATTTTGGTTTGTGCTTTTTGAGTTTTTCCTCATTGGTCCACAATAAAGAAAACCTACCGCTACGGAAAGCACTAAAAGCATTCCGACGCTGGCGAATGCTATAATTATCCAGCTAACCGAACAGCCAACTTGCGATTCTGTGGCGTTCATCAATAGTAATCCTTGAAGTTGCTCGGGACCACTACAAGTGATGTTGTCAACGTCAATAACAAACTCGGAATTTTCGGTTAAATTAAGCTGTTTATTTTTTTGTAAATGTACAAGTTTCCATAACCAAATAATTGAGCAGTTGCACAGTAAGGGGTTTCCACCTAAATGGAACACTTTGAGTTGATCTAACGGGAAGTGGGAAGCTTCTAACGTGGATATTTGGCAATTTTTAACGGAGACGTAAGTTAATTTCGGGTTGCCATGGAATAGTCTCGTTGGAAGTGTTGTAAGGGCTATGTTATTATCCATCCAAACTTTTTCTAACTTTATGTTATCTACGAATGCTCTCGAGTCAATTTTGACTAACATTTCTAAACGATCTAGTTTTAAATATGTCAGGTGAAATAAACTACGAAAACCTACGGGAGGTACATTCGTAAAGAAATTTCCACTTAAATAAAGTTTCGTTAATTTCGTTAATTTTGACAAGGATGTGGTGGGCACGACGGTGAAATTATTATCACTTAAGTCTAAATACTCCAAAGATGCTATACCGGAAAATGCATCTTGATGGATCTCGTCTATAACGTTGTTGTTTAATTCTAAATATTCTAATTCCGGTAAACTTGGCATGTCTTCTTCTTCTATCGATTTTATTAAATTTTGAGATAATGAAAAAACTTTTAATTTTAAACAATGTTTTATAGCCGATTCCGGGACCGACAATAACTGGTTCGAGTTCATATAAAGCTCTCGTAGCAATTTTGCCGGTTCCAATAAGTCTTCTTCGAGCTCGATTATCTGATTACCAGTCAAGTACAATACTTCTAAAGACTGTAATTCACGAAACGCATGCGCCGTGAACTGTTCTAATCGATTATGACTCATATCTAATATTTTCAAAGCTCTTAAGCCACGAAACGAATCTTTTAAAACATCATCAATCTCATTCCGACTTAGATTTAAATGTTTCAAATTCCTTTGCGATTCAAAATTGTTTGTTCCGAGCGTTTGAAGTTTATTCGAAGACAAATCCAACGTTACCAAGTTATTATAAATGCTTAGCGTGAAGAGTATATTGTTGATCTTGTTGAACGAGAGGTTGATATATTTTACTTCCGGATTTAATTGGATCGGAACGACTTCCAAACTCATATTTACGCAGGATGCCTGCAACGAATCATCGTTGCAGGAACACCTTGATGGGCACATAGCCAATATTGGACCGCTGGTCAATACCAGCGTGAAGATTATCCACATGGGGTGGGTTTCGTCACCCCCCATGATTTGTACGTGACGTTCGCCACATGAGATCTGAAACAAAAAAGATTTTTTTTATAAATTCCATAAAATATTTTAAAATATTCTTAGATAAACGTCGCGATATCGTTTAGTTAACGCACTACATGAGTCTCGAGTAATAGCACAAGAACATGGAACCCGTTGTGTGTTGGTATCTTTTCATCTTTTTCTTGTGAAAGAAAATATTACTGAGTAGATAAAGTAAACATGTAATTAGCGCTTTTTTGTACAAACTTTTAATCTTTAAGAAAAAAGAAAAAGTTTCAGATCACATTATAAATAAAATATTATATTCGTGATAAGTCTTGACAAACAATTATTAAAAAAGTAAATTGCTGAATCATTAGCAGCTCCAAGTATAACAAAGCAATAAGTGTATGGTTCTGATTTGTATTTATTAGAAACCGAGGCAGCTTTGCTGCCGAGGCAGTGGCTCAAATATTCCAAAGGAATAAGTAAAGATTCCTCTTCAGTAATGAAGGATCATTCGCAGCTGGGCAGACGTGGCACTGACTCAGGTATAATAAAGTAGTAAGTCAATGTGTGTTAATATTACTAAATAATAAGTATAGTAATAAATAATACCGATAGGTTAGGGTTATTTACTAACATTAATGGTCTGATTGTCAATGCAAGGTCAATTTGTCAAAACAAGAACTGTTGTGGAAGATTTGTAAGACAATAACCTACAAAACGGATGTAGCTAGGTTGGAACTGGTTATGGATTTTGTTTGCTTGGTTCAATACGAACAATTTTTGTCAATATTATGGTACTCTATCGGCTAAAGTTTTTGAGTAGTGGCTAATTCTTTAATCTAAACCCTACATTTTTGGGATTTATTTTTGTTCTAAAAAAATTATGATAACTAGGTTGGAACGGGTTATGGATTATACTTGTTTGGTTCAATAGGAACAATGTTTATGAGCTTCAAATCCTCTATCGATTATAGTTTTTGAGTAGTGATATGTTATTTAATCTAAACCACCTTTTTGGCGATTTATCTTTATTCCTACAAAATTATCATAGCTAGGTTGAAACTGGTTATGGATTTTGTTTGCTTGGTTCAATACGAACAATTTTTGTCAATATTATGGTACTCTATCGGCTAAAGTTTTTGAGTAGTGGCTAATTCTTTAATCTAAACCACACATTTTTGCGATTTATTGTGGTTCCAAGAAAATTGGGATACCTAGGTTGGAACTAGTTATGGATTACACTTGTCTGGTTCAATGTAAACAATTTTCACACGCTTCATAATCCTCTATCGGTTGTAGTTTTTGAATAGTGATATATTATTTAATCTAAATCATACATTTTGGCGATTTATCTTTATTTCTACAAAATTATCACAGCTAGGTTAGAACTGGTTATGGATTATGCTTGCTTGGTTCAATACAAACAATTTATGCCAGTATTATAGTACCCTATCGGTTATAGTTTTTGAGTAGTGATATGTTATTTAATCTAAACCACCCTTTTGGCGATTTATCTTTATTCCTACAAAATTATCATAGCTAGGTTGAAACTGGTTACGGATTTTGGTTGCTTGGTTCAATACGAACAATTTTTGTCAATATTATGGTACTCTATCGGCTAAAGTTTTTGAGTAGTGGCTAATTCTTTAATCTAAACCACACATTTTTGCGATTTATTGTGGTTCCAAAAAAATTGGGATACCTAGGTTGGAACTAGTTATGGATTACACTTGTCTGGTTCAATGGAAACAATTTTCACACGCTTCATAATCCTCTATCGGTTGTAGTTTTTGAATAGTGATATATTATTTAATCTAAATCATACATTTTGGCGATTTATCTTTATTTCTACAAAATTATCACAGCTAGGTTAGAACTGGTTATGGATTATGCTTGCTTGGTTCAATACAAACAATTTATGCCAGTATTATAGTACCCTATCGGTTATAGTTTTTGAGTAGTGATATGTTATTTAATCTAAACCACCCTTTTGGCGATTTATCTTTATTCCTACAAAATTATCATAGCTAGGTTGAAACTGGTTATGGATTATGCTTGCTTGGTTCAATACAAACAATTTATGCCAGTATTATAGTACCCTATCGGTTATAGTTTTTGAGTAGTGATATGTTATTTAATCTAAACCACCCTTTTGGCGATTTATCTTTATTCCTACAAAATTATCATAGCTAGGTTGAAACTGGTTATGGATTATGCTTGCTTGGTTCAATACAAACAATTTATGCCAGTATTATAGTACCCTATCGGTTATAGTTTTTGAGTAGTGCCTAGTTCTTTAATTTAAACTTGCTTGATGATTGTACTTGATAGGCTGGATTAGTATCATGATTCGAATGGGAATCATCTTGCTAATGTGATTTATAAATAGTTGTATCTAACCCCAGTTATTATACGAGAATATATCAATAATACCCAAAGAGGCTTTCCATGTACTGTAATGTCAATAACACCGCCCACATCGATGATTAAAATTCTTGGAAAACAACAATACAGATGACCTGTACAATTTAGAATTATTTATCTGTTTTATAGATTTACCTAAATTTTTTGTTTATTTTTTAGGTCGGTGTATAAAATCGTTAATACCGAAAGAGGTTTTCTGTGTAACGTAATGTCAACAATAATTCAGCGTAAAATGTCCACATTGTACCTCAAAACGTAATTAATTGACGAAAAAATCTAATGCCCGGCTAAAGAGCTTTTTAGGCCCCCGTTGACAGAGAACGCGTTTTAATTTTCGGTTCAATTCTCGCGCTTCGGCCGTGAACCTACGGAATTCTCCCGCAAAACAAATCCCAGTTTAAATAATTACGCACCCCGGCCGAGGCCAAACTAACGCGCGCCGCTAAATTACACTGAAAATTGATCGTAAGTGAAATGTACTTTTTAAATTTTAATTAAACTTGTGTTTGTACAGTCGCAATTACTTTGCGAGAACACAGAACGACCGCGCTATTTGTCTTGCATTAGTGATTGTTTAATTTGGGTACAATTCGAAAACAGTTATCGTGTTCGTATCCTTGGAAATTTGAAAATTTCAACAAAAACGGATTGTAAAGTAAAACAATGAAAACTCCAACCAAACACTTTTTGCGATATCCTTTCTTTTCCTTTGCGAAAAGCTTTTTAGAAAATACTTTTAGGAATAAGGGTTGTTCCATTTATAACTGTCGCCCGCAATGTTTTTTTTGTAAATTTTCTTCGACCGGGTCGCGGTGGTTGGATTAGAGTGGACAACTATTTCAAATCCAATTTTAACGGATTAGTTAGGATAAAGAGGGATTTTGCTGACCACCTGGGACTAAGAAGTTTCAACGGGCGATATCGCAAAAAGGGGTTCGATGTCTTCGATGGTAAATCCTAATTTTCACTCTAATGAGATTTGTTCATTAACTGACGGGAGCCGTCTACCACAAACGTAGTCTCTGTCGACAATAGACTAAACTATAAAGTTTCAATAGGCCAAATAATTTACCGGTAAGTTTGAATCGACTTCTAAGTACGATGTGTACAGTTCCATCGACCTCGTTCGAAGTTAACAGCGAGACTTTTATGCTCGACAAGGACTCGTGAGAGACGCATTCTGAATTCCTGAATGACACTTCTTCGATTAAGCCCTCTTAGCGGTCAATAGTTCATCACCTTTCAACCATTTCAATTGTTTTCTTTTAATCCAAAAGAAATTCAAACCTTGTTTACTGTTGTCCGTTCAAAAACCATCGATAGAAAAAAATCTTATTTGTCCAATTTAAAATACGGACGAATAAAATTTTCAAGAAATCGATGCCAACGATGGAGGTGGGGGTGGGCTGTGAGGTATGTTCGTGAAAATGTAGGAAAATATCGTCTTCGCAGGGGGGGTGAAATACTAGAATCTATCATGATATGGAAATTTGGACTTCTACTTGATAGCTTATACTGGAACGTGGGGGTGAAAATTTTCACCCTCAAATAAAACATCGAAGAAAAAGAAATCACACTCTGATTTGAAAATATAACAATTCATTTTTCTTGATTGCATTATAAAATAGACAAGAACGTCAACGGTGGCACAAATGAAGCAAAGAACGTCTTTGAAAGTGTAAAGTCCGGAAAATTTTCCGCGACCATAGCATCCCCGCTGACACAATTTTCAATTTAGCGCCCGCAGTGGAAGACATTCTCTTTCTTAAGAAAGGCTTTTAACAAGATAGCGACCGCAAAAGTTCAAACGTTTTTCTAGGTCGACGGCGACGGAGCCAAACATTTAAATTACATTCGGACCGCTGCACCTCCTCCTTGTCTTTATTCGAACATTTATTAGGCGCACTGATTACAGAATTTCACCATTTATTTATATAAAATCTTTCTACGACTTATTTTTAAAAATAATAAAAAACGAGTTTATTTTCTATTCAATGATTTATAAATATTCCACGTATTTATTTCACGGCGGTCCTTTGATGTTCTTGTAACTAGTAATGTAAGAGAAAACTTGTACTGGTTTTATTTCAAAACATTTTCTCATCAAAATTCGTTAAACATAAAATCAGAATTTAATCTATTTTAAATATCCTATAATTTAATAAATAAAGTTTCTTCCAACTCCAAGTATATTTGGGGCATATTTTTTCTTATATTTACCAAGCAAATAAAGGAATGAAATTATCTCGACCGCTCCAAGTATTGTTCTCATATAAAAAATACTCTCGGCCGCCCCAAGTATCACGAACAATACTTGGGACGGCCGAAATCTTAGAAGTCGGCCGAGATTATTTCTTATATCACGAACAATACTTGGGACGGACGAAATCTTCGAAGTCGGCGGAGATTATTTCTTATATCACGAACAATACTTGGGACGGCCGACGTCTTCGAAGTCGGCCGAGATTATTTCTTATATCATGAACAATACTTGGGCGGCCCAACCCAAGTATCACAAATAATACTTAATAATGAAATTATCTCGGCCGACTTCGAAGACGTCGGCCGCCCCATGTGTCACAAACAATACTTGGGGCGGCCGACGTCTTCGA